ACGGTCCCTACACGCTCAAGCCTCCGCACGTCAACTCCAAAGTTATTGCTGTTGCTCTTAGAATGCCTCGTTGATTTTAAAAAACGGCTCTAGATCGTTGCTTATCTTACTATGTTTTGTCTTTTTACAACGTTTAACTTGAGAGTTATTGCTCTAGGAAGCTCGAATCTGTCACCATCTGTTTCCAACCGTGCGCAGAGCAGGAAGTGGACTCAGCAAAGTCGGTCATCGCACATGAAAGAATACTTATTACTAAAGAATACTAATTATTAAAGAATAAAACAAAACTCTGCGTTTGGAAGCAGATGAGGGTGCACGTACCGTGGAAGGCGACCAGAACGAGGAGCAAAACTCTGCCCATCACAAGTCGGCGGCGTCTGGATGGATGGACGGCTGCTTCCTCTTCTCCTCATCTGCTCTGACAGAAGCGTGAAATGCGCATTAATAGAGGAAGGTGGTGAGGGGGGAAGGCGAGAGGGGAGGGGGGGTGGGGAGAGGGGTAGAAAATAGACGTGGGGCTGTTTTTAAGCTGTGTTCATCAGGCAGGAAGACGCAGAAACTCTCCTTCATGTTAGCCCGATTCTTTATTTGGAAGCCTGAGAACAAACCAGAGTAGATCAAGAGTACAAATTGATGACATTTATTGGTCACAAGCAAATTAAATCAGCTGGGCTCTAACGGACAAAGCAACAGACAAACTCAGTTTGACAGATGAAACATCTGTATTTGCTCCCATACTGTAAATGGCAAGCATGCAGCACAAGTTTCTCCATCTTCCAGAAGATCTAATCAGCGTGGATGAAAAAACCAGGAAGGCTGGAGAGAGAATTCCTTTGGCTTAAGCAATAAAACAGCAGTTAGAAAACATGCTGAAGGGCTAACAGCCCGGCTTCACAGTTCGTGCTGCAGCCTGACGCTCACCGACACAAACCCACATCCTGCAGGGCCTCCTCCATCAGCCAATGGCTTCTGACGGCCGACAGCTCAACCCCCCGTCTCTAAAACCGTCTCTAAAACCGTCTCTACGTCTCTAAAACCTTAGAGAGGTAAAATAAAAGGGCTCGCTTCCTCTTTCTTGCCGAGGCAGGAAGCTTTTTAAAGACACCAGGAGCCAGCTAGCAATCAGAAAAAGGGAAGTGAAAGCGTAGAAAAAAGGTATGCATCAAAAAGAGGCTGCAGATCTGTCAGACTTTAGAGTCTTTAGAGCCTCACGGCATGAAAATGATCCTCAGCCTGATTTCCACCTTAAGCATCTGCTGCATCAGTAAGTAGAAAAAGCTCCGGCTAACCTTCTTCTTCTTCTTCTTAACCTTTATTTTACCAGGAAGTCCCTTGAGATAAAATCTCTTTTTCGAGGGAGACCTGGCCAATAGGCAGCAGTACAGTAAGACATTTAAGAACACGGGACAACATAATAAAATCAATCATAAACTAGACTAGAGTAACAGTTACAATTCTCTGTGCAAGCAGTTTTCAATAGTGATTTAAAATGCTGTAGCGGAATAAGAGTCCGTAATTGCAGGGAGTTTTTTTTTTTCATTTTCAGAACAGAGAGTCCCATACTGCTGGAGTTTTTTCAGCATTTTGACGGATTATTCAAGAGCCACAGAATAGTTTGTGCTATGACTATGTAAACACCGAACACACCAAAAGAAAGAGT